GCTGCTTTTTGCTTTTTCTGGGTCACGCGGCGCAGTGCGTGTACGCTGCACGGCATATGTAGGAGAAACCACGCAATAACATCAGGGGAAGCCGCTGAAGCGTGCAATCTGGCGCACGGCTCCGACTCCCGCCGTCAGGCTTGTTCTGTCTGTGTCCCCCGGCCACGTTTCTGAGCTGGTGCCCACAGCTAGGAAACAGCGCACGTGAAAAACGCCACAGCCAGCCCCTTCCACCGGGCAGCTGGACCTCTGCTCTGAGAAGGTCCGGTCGAACGAACTTAAACTAAATGCTATGCGCCCGCAACGCGCATGCCACACGCGGCTTGTACGGGTGGGCAGGATTTGCAGCTTCTTTTTCCTCCCTCTCCAAGAGTAGTCTGCCACTTACTGTACGCAGAATTGCTGTTTGCAGCACGAGGCGGTGCTGTGTAACTCGATGAGGCAGAACGCGGCCAAGAAAAGCAGGACAAAACATGAAAGAAAGACCCAACAGCAGCCGTCAAAGCAAAGGTCACAGACTGGTGCTTGGAGTGCGGGAGGGGCACCAGATAGAAAAGCTCGTCTTGGCTCTGTGCTGTCTGTTAAAAGGATGAAGGATGAAGGATGAAGGGTATGACGTCCTCCCTGGCTAGGAGAAGCAGCATCTTCTCCATACAGCTACATCCCCCATCATTTTTTCAGTTTACAGCAGGTGAGCACTGCAGCTTGCAGGACCGGCAGTCTCCTGCGAGGGGACAGCACTGTTTCTGGGTGATGTTTTGCACAGATGTGAATGTCAGCTAATTAGAAAAGTGAAATTTCAGCCCAGCAAGCGTTTACGACGGAGGAGAGGGGAAACACTCACAGGTTTCTTCTTTGCTTCCAGCCAAAAGAGCCAAGGAGTGCTTGCACATGTGCAGGCAGGGGAGGGCAACAGGGCAGGGAGGGCAGAGAGGGGAGACACAGCCAACACAGGCGAGGTCCCGAGTGGAGTGATTGGTTTTGGCAGCTGCCCTGGGAAAAAAGGCACTGTCAGCACTACAAAACATGCAGGAAAATCTTAGCTGGCACACAGATTTATCTTTTCCAGAGGCAGTGAAGAATGGAAAAGGCCCAAAGAGAGTTGCAGATAAGGAAGGGAGCAGTGATGGGATGAAGCCAGCTCCAGAGACCAGTTAATTCAGCTCTCTCCTGGATACAGCCCGCTTCTTAGAAAGGGGGTTTTGAAGGAAAACAGAGTCTGGAAGAACCTGGAATATCTTTAACTACAGACACAGCTTAGCAAATACCACACACTTCTGTTTTACATAGAAGAAAACTGCCTTACCTGAGTAGTTTTCGCCCTTCTGCCTTGCATGCTGTTACTATGGCTAATTTGTGGGTTGGTGGCCCCTTCGGAAAGGCAGTGGGATTTCCTGCAGGGCAGTGTATTGTAATTACTGTAGGAAGGCGCGTCCTCAGCAGTAACTGATGCCATCTTATGGCTCCCAATGTCTGGAATGTCAGACACTAAATTCCTGCAGTACCCTCCAAAGGCGTTCCGCGGGCCGCCGTTGACGGTAGCACTCGGGGTTTTGGGGGAATACAAGTCGCTCATAGAGTTGGCGCGCTGGCAGGTGACCAATGGCTGGGGGACGCTGGCCTCTGTTCCCCGGGTGGCCTCGGCATCCTTCTCCTCAGCCAAGCCCAGGATTTCCTCGTTGCTCGTTAAATGCTCCTGGCTGAGATCGGAGAGCGAAAATTCCAAGCTGTCCTCGCGCCAGATGTCGGCCGATTTGGAGCGCTTCTTCTTGAAGCTGGTCGTCTCCATGAAGTTCGTCCCATTGGCTGTGTATCGATGTGACCTCCCATCACCCTCTGCCAGGAACGGCGGCTCATCCCCGTAGAGCCTGCTCTCCTCCGAGTCCGGCATGCTCTGGACGGAGGCGGCGGTGAGGACAGTGCTGCTGTCCACGCTAGGGGTGACAGAGGAGTCGGTGTGGTAGGAAACGGGCCGCAAGCCCATGTCTACACGGTCCACCCAGATGGGGCTTCCAAAGTCCTCTAGGTTGGCCTCCTGGGCGAAGGGCTCCAGGCCATTTTCCGCCAGGGACTGGGGGATGCTGGGGGTACTGCTGGAGCGGGTGCTCACTTCTGAGTTACGGTGGATAATTTTTCCGGAAGAAGCGTGCCGCGTCCGGCGAGAGGCTTTATTGGAGAGGCGAAGCGAGCGGGAAGTGTGCTTGCGGCCCAGGCTGGCGTGCTTGTCTCCGTAGAAGGCATGCTCCACGCTCTGGCTCTCCGCGTTTCCCATGGCGTCACAGTCTGCAGAGGCAGAGAGTGGGAAACCATTAAAGGCAGCAACCAAACATGCAGGCAAGACACACGGAGGCTTCAGAACATACAAAACAGCTTTTTTTTTTTTTTTAAATGAACCTGTCCCAAAACCTACACCACAGCTTCCACTGGGTCTTGTGGGATGTGCTTTAACAGTGGCAACTAATCCCAAAGACTTATTTAACGGAGCCAGTGACCGTACCAGTAAACTTATAAATACAGCTCACTTAAATCAGTAAGTAGCAAAAAGCCAGACCACAGCTACGTTGGTGTACGTGAAGAGTGTAGAAGAGGGGAGGACTGCACCTTGAAGCCTGGTCCAAACTGGAGCCAGGTTACCACCAAAGCGCACTGGCAGTCTCAGCTCTGCACACATTCACTTGACTCTTAGCGTTAGCTTCTCCTTCGCAATTGCAGCCAACACTACACACTCAAAAAATGAACAGCTATCGTCTATCTGCATGTAAGGAGATGCCAAAAAGTAGATGGATATACGCCTTTATCTGAAATGTCACTTTTCTTTGCTAGGAACTGCTAGCTGAAGCAACAAAGTACAAGTTCAACTGTTCAGCAGAGAGCTAATGACAGGTTTGATTTCTCGAACAAAAAAACAGTGCAACATTAAGCAGGTACAGAGAGCCCCACACAAGAAAGCCAAATTACGAAAAATAAATTAGCATGAGTGACTCAGACTATACAAAAATAACCTTTCCTTCCTACTCACTCTGAAGCAGATAGCTAGATCTAAGCGCTTTGATCTAGCAAAGGGAAAACTGAGCTGGAACGCAGGGACTGGGTTTCTGCCCCCATCTCCATATCTAGCCTCCTGCATCATTCAGTTGTGGACATCCTGCTGTGAAACAGGTTTCCCATCCAGAAGATGGGAGTAATGATCTGGATTCAGTCTTGGAAAGCACTTTAAGGCCTGTGATCTCACTCAACAAATGTCAGAAATATTTTATCAGTAGTATTGGCTCCCTCTGGCCAAAGAGCAAGAAGAAGAAGAAGAAAAGTAAATGTTAAAGTACATGGTCATTCAAAATTAAATAGGAGATCCTGAATTACACACAAGACAATTATATCTAGATAAACAGTCCATAAATCTTGAACAGAAATTCAAAGACAAAACTTCCTCCATCTGAGGTATTTCCATTAGTCCTGGTTGGGAAAAAAAAAGCTGTCTTGACAGTAAAATAATCTGGAGTTTTTCCTTTCTTGGGGGAATTTCCTCTCCTGCAACAGGATGCGCTGATGGGTATTGAGCCGGATGCTGGCAGAATGAATGTGATCGTGTATTTTCCCTCGCTATCTAAACACAAATCACTGCTGCACAGAACTGAATCATCCCTACATAAGTTACGCAGAAAGCGAGGAATCGATTGTGCTAAATGCAGGCACAGCACTTCTGCCATAGGCTGCCCTGGACACATACAGTGGAACTGAACTTCTGCAGTGAAACTTCTGAGCACAGTCAGAAGACTGCGCTTCTCTTCTACCCAGCTAAGTTAGCTCGTGTCTGAGGCTAAGAAGCTCTTCAATGCTGGAGCAACAGACACCTCCATAAATATCTGGACATTTCTGTATCTAAAACAAATATAATTGCATGGCAAGTAAACTATACCAGGAAATACCCTACATCTATTGAAATTAATGGCTGAACTCCCATTGACTGCCATGAGACTTGGTTATCATGCATCATTTAGAAAAATAAATGTGCTGAACAGAGGGCAGGTTTTAATCTAAAAAAAATGATGGCATTATACATCCCTAGACAGGGTTTATTATTCCTTAAAAGCTACAGCCCTTTGATATGGACTGGACTGAAAAAAAAAAAAGGTCAGCTAGCTTTTGCTTCTAAAAGATTTTAAAAGCACAAAAACTGAATTTTGTCTTCCACACTGATGTCTAAAACCAGACCTCAACACCCGCCATCTTCCAAAAGAAACCCTCTCCGGGTAACGCTTTTAGCTGTTTTGATTTTGAGATTCTTGCTAACCACACTTTCATTCACTGGGATTTCCACCAGTTCCAAAGCCCATCAGAGCATGCAGCAGCCATTTATCCCCAGTCTCCAGCCATGCAGCCATCACTTCAGTACCTTTCTATGGAGAAAGAGCAGCTTTAGAAGTCCTCTTGAAACCCTGAATGATTGAAGAGTGGCTCTTTACCTTCAGAAACAGAGCTGCCGAAGGGCAGGAGTGTCCCTCACACACCACAGGACAAGGAACCCTTGCTGATGAAAACGCCGGACAGCGTGGCTATGGAATGCAGCCCTGTGCCACCATCTCGATGTAGTCTCCATGCAAGCCGGGCAGACTTTCGCCCAGCCAAAAAGTAAAGGAACCACAAACGACTTGGCACAGAAAGGAGCAGCAGCTCAGGCTGAGTCCCGTGAGGAAATAATGCTGCTAGAAAACACTCTCATGGAAGGAGGAAAGTCTTCTCTCCGCAGATGGCGGCAAGAATGTTTACTGAGCGATTTCACACAATGAGAAGTATCTGCTAGATACCGACAAGAAGTGTCAGACTTCAAAGGAAAGAGCTGTCCCTTTTTCATTCCGTGGATTGGCACTTCAGGTGAGGACGCGTTTGCAAGTCCCGCAGACTGGCTATCTGTCCCGGTGGTGATTAGCCCATGCCTCCTCCTGCATCCAGGAAGGACTTGACCGGAGAGATCTTACCCTAAAGCCACTCATTTCCCCAGCATTACATTGCAGGCTTGCACATTCTGCATGCATGGTGGGTGCAACGGGGCCGTGGGCAGGCACCGTGCAGCTGATCCAGCTGCAGGGATGCAAGACGGCACCGTTATCGTCCCTCGCCAGATGCCAGCAGATGAGGGCATGACAGGTTGAGCCCACCTCGAGTGGGGATGGCCAACCCCACCAGGTCAAGCTGAAGGTGGCTGCTTGTGGGGTGCCTGAGACAAATGTCTCCCCTTGGAAGGGACCCCTCTTCTACCTCCTCACTCCCATTTTTACCTCCCCTCTGCACTTCTGGCAGAGCATTTCCACCAGTTACCCTCAACGAATTCAGATGCTCACGAGTCCACTGAAACAGCAGGAAATAAATGCAGATGGGGGGAGAAAAGGAGAAGAGAGAAAAAAAAAAAAAGACTGACTTCATTTATTAGTTTATTTTTACTGGGATTGTGAATTCAACTGGGACATACCAGAGGCAGCAGAGGGTCCCCGTCTGGGGACACACGGGGTTGGGGATGGGGCAGCATGGCTGGAGGGTGACGCGGGAGCTGGGGAAGAGGGGACAGCAAGCAGCTCCTCCCCCATTTTTTTGGCAGCAGAGAGCTGTTAGGTCATCTCAGGCAGATGTGGAAAGGCAGCCCCGAAACATGTGAATTCGCACTGAAGCAGATGCTGGCATCCTCAGCTAGCAGGAGCGGGCGCTGGGCGGGGGAGGGGAGCCCCAACCTCCCCATCCCAGGGGTAGCGGCAGACACCCTGGGGCAAAAACGTCTTAAACTGCTCCAGCTACGACTGCCAGATGCTGCCTGTCTATGGCTTAACTGAATTTAGCACACTCAATGAAAAAAATCTGTATCAAATTAAGAAAATGAGTAATGTTAATGGGAGTTGCACGCAAACGCTGGTAGGACAAAGGCTCCCCTTGTTAGCTCACCCACCGAATCCAAAGGTGACCATTAAAGGCCTATCAAGGTACCACCAGGATACAACATAAATCAACTGTGACACGTCTTGATGCTTTAAACAGGTCTGTCGTGCTCGACCAAGGATTGCGACGTGTCAAAAATCTGTTCTGAATTATTCGCCGAAGCTAGCAGAGATTAGCGCACACAGACCATGCACTGCAAGCAGAAGTAGTTGGAAATTTTTCAGCAGAAAATGTTGATTCATCAAAACCCAAACTTTTCGTGGGAATAGACTGCTTTTGATGAAAGGCCCCTCCACTCCAAGAGGGAGAGATTTGAAAACCGAAGCAGCGAGACAGGCACGTCTCCTGAAGAGGCACCAGCTCTGTGACTCAGTTGCTTGCGGAAGACGTAGAAGATCGAGATTCCTATCTGCAGCCCAAGCAAGGCAAACAAGAGGTGGCAACTTGTTCCTCCACATCCTGGAGAGGTGGCCAGATCATCAAGCTACCGGCTGTTCTGGGAAAGGGCTCTCTCTCCCAGAAGATCTGCTCCTTCCTGGTTCAGAGCAGGGAAAATGTCAAAATTGTGGAAGTCTTCAAGGGGCCAGGAAAGTCACCTTTTAGACAGCTTGCATGCCAAGAGAGTACAGGGGTTTGAGCTGTTTGTTTTTTTTAAACCCAAAACTGAAGATTAATATCAACATTAAGACATCAGC